TCTTTACCTTCTGGTGGAGAAGTAGGATATTTAAAAGTGCTGAATCGGTGAGATACAAAGGAGAAAAATAACTCACCAATAATCTCACCACATTCTTCCCAGTTGACTTTAAAAAAAATAATATTTGTAAAAGTTTGGATAATGTAGGGCTAGGTCTGCATAGTGTTTGTTATACAAAGGGAACATGTTCTTTCCTAATCTCATTTGACGTGGCCTCATGGGGTCTGTCATGTGGTGGATAACTTTACATATCACTCATTCTCAGAGTTTTGCTTTTACAAATAATTCTGCACTGTGTGGGTGTATGCCTTGGCAAACTTAAATATTTCTATAATTTGAATAAATTAATATGCAAATGTTCAGCAGTGACACAGCTGGTCAAAGCTTTTGTGCATTAAAATACTGAAAGATACTGCCATTTTAAATTTCTCTGTAAATAAATCCATCACTTTTCTGTGATTGCTTCTAAGTCTTGTATTGTGTTTAACAATGCTTCTTGCACCTAAGTTATAAGTTCAGCCATTGTTTCTTCCCAAACATTTTCATTGGTTCATTTAATTTTTTACAGGTAACTGACATTAGTTTTAATACTAGGTATTATTTCTTAGTTCTTGGCATTATTTCCTATGCCTTTCCACCCCACCCAAGGTGGATTAAAGACTAAAAGTGAGGTTTTGCAGATTCAAAGGTAAGAAGAATTCTAAACAATTTGCACTCTGCCAGCGATTTCCATCCAGTCAAGATCTAGAAGGTGGAAGGGGAAGTCCTTGTTTTCTGTGGTGTCTGTGCTGGTGGACAAGCAAACGTCTGTCTGTAAGAAATTACTTAAAGGGCCCTCTCTGGTGGTACAACAGATTAAAGCATAGCACTACGAAGCTAGCCACAGGCACTTAAGCGTGAGATCCATCCCAGGAGCTGAGCCACATGGTACAGCAGACCTCTCCTCTTTCCCCGCTGCTCCCCTCAGCAGTGTCCTTGGTTGATAAGCCTGTTCTACTCCCCACTCTCTCTCTGGTGAATCCTCTCACCACCTCTGCACCTCTGGCCTGTACCCCAGTTCTGTATACATAAATAAATAAAGCTTTTTTTTTATTACAAAAGTTTATTTTTACATCATTTTGTACATTTTTTTTTTCCATCTCGATTGTAATCCCTGCGGGTTTCCCATTACCAATTCACCCGTGTGCCATCACCATAGTCCCGTGCATTTCCCTCCCCACCCCCCCATTTTTGATCCCATTCCCCACTCCACCCACACAAAATGTCTCTGGTATATGGTTGTTCATTATTTTTGTTATTTTCTCGCCTGGTCCATTATACTCCTGCTATGAGTGAAACCATCCGGTATTTTTCTTTCTCTTTCTGGCTTATCTCACTAAGCATGAACTTTTCCAGCTCCATCCAAGTTGCTGCAAAAGACATGTGTTTCTCTTTTTTGGTTGCTGAGTAATATTCCATTGTATATATGTACCACATCTTTTTTATCCAGTCATCTACTTTTGGGCATTTGGGCTGCTTCCATGTTTTTCCAATTGTAAATAAAGCAGCAATAAACATGGGGGTACAGGTATCTTTTTCAATCAGTGTTTTCGTGTCTTTTGGGTAGATACCTAGGAGTGGGATTGCTGGGTCATAGGGAAGCTCCATGTTTAGCAGTTTGAGGAACCTCCAAACAGTTTTCCAGAGTGGTTGTACTAGTTTGCATTCCCACCAGCAGTGCAGGAGAGTTCCTTTTTCTCCACATCCTCACCAACATTTGTTGTTGCTAGTTGTTTGAAGATGTGCCATTCTCACTGGGGTGAGGTGGTATCTCATTGTGGTTTTAATTTGCATCTCCCTTATTACAAGTGATGTTGAACATTTTTTCATATACCTGTTGGCCATCTGCATTTCCTCTTTGGAGAAGTGTCTATTAATAAATAAAGTTTTTTTAAAAAAGAAAACAACCAGACTCCATACTTGTAGTCTGTCACCCACTTCCTGGACCTGAGGCATGCTGGTGGCAGCAATGGATGGTGAGCACAGTGATGTGTCACAGGTGATGGTAAGAGCATGGTGGCTCTACAACTCTGCCTCAACTGTGATTTTTTTTAAAAAAGATTTATTCATTTAGGCATTCAAGAGCTGGGTTACGGCCAGATGTGTGGGAGGGGTAAGAGGACTCCCCAGAGATAGTGGGAAGTAGAACAGACAGATCAATTGAAATACACTGCTGAGGGGAGCAGCAGGCAAGACAGGAGCAGTCTGCTGTGCCATGTAGGTCACCTCCCTGGTTGGGGACCAAATTCATGCTGTAATGGCTGTGATAGCTGCATAGTGCTGTGCTTTAACCCTTTGCACCACCAGGGAGGGCCCCTTTATCCATGATTTTTTTTTTTTTAAGATTTATTTGTACATACAGAACTGGGGTACAGGCCCGAGGCTCAGGGGCGGTGAGAGGCCTCACCAGAGACAGAGTGGGGAGCAGAACAGGAAGTTCGATGAAGTACACTGCTGAGGGGAGCAGCGGGAGGGCAGGAGAGGTCTGCCACACCATGTGGTCACCCGCGGGGCAGGCGGGAATTGAACTATGCGGAAGTGGCTTTAGCTTTTCAGTGCAGTGCTTTAACCCGCTGCGCCACCAGGGAGGGCCTATCCATGATTTTTAAGGACCTAATAATTTTCTACATTAAATCCTTTCTGTTTTCTAGAGGATTTGACAGTTTATTTTGTAAGATGATATCCTTGTGTAAATCAGTTCTGCCATAGGTGTTATACCCTTTGTGACTCCCATTAGGATTCAGAATACTTCTTTTGAAATCAAAGGAATGAGAGGGTTTCCCTGGTAGTGCAGGGTTTTTTGTTTCATTTTAAAGATTTATTTTATATATACAAGAGCTGGGGTGTGGGTTAGAAGTGTGGGGGGGTGAGAGGATTCACCAGAGACAGTGGGGAGCAGGACAGGCAGATTGACAGAAATTAAATGGCTGAGGGGAGCAGTGGGTGAGACAGGAGAAGTCTGAAATTAGCACTGTCAAGCTATCGGCAGCCACTGCCTCAGGTGTTTGATCCCCAGCCAGGTTGTTGACCCACATGGAGCTGCAGATCTCTCCTGTTTCCCACTGCCCCCCTCTGCAGTGTGTTTGAGTAGATCCATTTGTTCTGCTCCCCATTCTGTCTCTGGTGAATCCTCTCACCCACTCACACTTCTAACCCACATCGCAGCTCTCATATGCATAAATAAAAATAAATCTTAAAAAATAAAAGGAACTAGAAATGTCTTCCACAATAAAATTTCTACTACCAAAACATTTTGGATTTTAAATGTAAATAATATTATGTTTATGTTTAATATGAATTAAGTCTGTTTAAAATAATATATTAAAAAGATGAATAGAAAATGACAAAAATTGTTTTACTGGTTACAATCTAATGTCTAACAAAAGTAGATAAGTAGAACTTCCTCTTAAAGAGACAAACGGGCTTTCCAAACAGTCCCACCGCATCCTGCTGTCCGGCCTTTGGCAGCCTCAGGCAGCCAGAGCTCAGCTACTCAATGAAAGTAAGTACAAAGAGGCCCCTGTGCTGTGGAAACTACCAGGGTTTATTTACAGCACTGCTACCCTCAGCAAACAACCCCTTGACTCAGCTCTGGGATGAAATTACTTTTGCTTAACAAACTTGTTTTTCTGCTTTATTATTGCAGCAGAAATAGAAGAGACGTATCAGAATTGACAAAAAGAAGTGCATGAGAGAGGAGTCAGCTAAATACTACAGAATCAGTAGGTAGGAAATTTTTCTTACAAATGAGAGCGTAGGACTATTCCAGAATTCCTCGAGGACATTGCCCAGTCTCTGCTTACTCTCTTCCAGAGTACCCGAAACCTATTTCTGAGACCCAAATTTAAAAACAGCGCATTTTCCAGTCAGCATGACAAATAGTTGTCAGGGACATGCAAAGTGAGATACCATCTCATTTGTTGAGTGTTTGGAGAGAATGGCACTAGGAGACCTCGGAAAGGAGGGCAAGAAGCAGTAAGCCACCGCTTTGTCACTAAGGAGGCTATAAATCCATCTTGAGCAACGTAACATTTTGATCTGGAGTCCTACGTGAAATGTATTTAATCCCTGCTAGGCAGTTTTAATCTAGTGTCTTCACTTTTGTCTCAGATTTCATTAATCTAGCACTACTAACTTTGCATTCTTTAAACAAGTAATTTATAAGAGAAGCATATCATAGAATTTCAATACATACAGAAAATAAATGAAGAGTGATAATCCTTCCTTCTTCCCCAAACTTCCAGTTCCATTGCTAGAGGTTCACTTAATACTTTTGTTTAGCGTTCCAGAAAATACATATACCCTTTGATAAACACAAAAGACGTCATGTTATGTGCAGTGAAGCTTCTTGTTTTTATGCACTGTGTTGATGATCCGCCCCTTTCTTTTCAGCGGCTGCTGAGTATTGTCTGTCACTATTTTTGAGCCATCACATGGGGCGCTTGGCTTCATTCCACTCAGGCTCTCCCACGGGTGCTCCCGTGATCGCCTACGCGCCAGTCGGATGCCACCTTGTGTGAGTGAAAACTAAGTCCTTAGTAGTGGCATTGCTGGTCAGAGGATCAGTATTTCTGGAGTCTGGAGAATCTGATAGACACCAAATTGCCTTCTGGCAAGGCTGCATCAATTTCTCCTTCCACTAACAGTACATAAAAAGTGCCTGCCCCCACCACCATCAACACAGGGTCTTCAAGCTTTAGTTTTTACCAGACTAGTAAGTATATTTTATTGTTCTAATTTCTTTTATTAAGAGTGAACATCATTGATTTATTTTAAACACTTAGATTGATTTTGATTTTAAGAATTAGAGGCCCATTTGTTTCACGCACATTTTATTAAGTAATTAGTGTCCCCTATTTCTTGACAGTGTTGGTATTTTCCCTAGGAAACTGCCTTTCTAAATTGTTAATAAGTAAAATACATTTGGGGTAAGATTAGATTTGGTTTTATTCTTGGTCGCCTTATGTCGATCTGGTATTTAGTCGATTCCTCCAGCTCTGTACTTTGGCAAGATCTTCTGCAATTGTTTTAATCATTTGATCAGTAGTTTCTTTCAAAGTGATTGCAGTCCTTAGGGCATGATCCAAAGATGTGTTTAAAATCTACAGAGGAAAAGTCCACATTTTAGCTCCATGAATTCACTGTTTCTGTTAATTCAGCTTGTTCATTGTCAAACATTGCCAGGTGGAATTTTTGGAGTATTTCGTTTTCCACTCAGTCTACTTCTGTTTGTGAGGGTTGGTTTCCTAGGAGACCAGTCTGAGTTGGAATATATTTTTTAGAGAAAGGAACAGAAAAAAGACAAACATGTGATTGATGAGCATGAATCAGAGGGTGAGGTCACAGCCTGCTGGGCCATTCCCTGTTGCAGAGAGAGAGGTCTGTGAGAAAGAATAGCTCGTGGGGTGCAGGTGGGGGTTACTGAAAGGAATTGAGAGGCCATAGCCATGGAAAGAGCACACAGAGGGACAACATATTGTGGTGGTGTGGGATTTGAAACAGCCTGAAGTAGAGTCACTGCTTTGAAAATAAAACGTTGGTTGCTCTAACACCAGTGTCTCGGGATAGACCAGGACGCAGCTGGGAACAGTCTCAGTGCCCTCAAACTAGCCCAGGGAATCCCATAATTGAGGCACCACCCACCAGACACTTTCTTCAGGAAATTCCCTTGGGACCGATTTAGAAATAATAATCATGCGCTCAGGCTGTGTGTTTCTATGTTGGTGCTGACATCAGCTTTTTGTGTATTTGTTTCACAAACATGCAGTATAGGTAGTTCACCCCCAAAAGAATGAAAATTGAATAAACACCTCTTTGGAGTCTTACCTCTTTCTGTGTCAATGGAAAAGGACACAGAAGCTAAACTAAACAAGCTAAAGATGTGCTCCAAGGATTCTAGAATATTCTTTTCTGAGTCCTCACCTCAGTTTCCATTTCTTCAGTACTGCTAACGTTGCATAATGATTTGCCTCCAAAAATCTTGCCCGAGTGGGAATGGGGTGAAGATGCAGCGAGATCTGAACCATAGGTCATGAAAGCCTTAAGATTTTTTCTGGAAGGCAAAAGCATGTATTTGTGTAAAGTATTGCCCTCAGCCCTGAGGTTCAGTAATGCTCTGAGGGGTTGGGGGAGGGGGCAGGGATGGGGGCCTGCAGCTCTCTCACATAGCTCTCATTGTATGCTGTTGCCATGACCACAGAGGGGGCTGGTTTTCTCTTGCAGTTTCTCTGCTTTTCCATTTACACAAAGAGGTAAGACTCCAAAGAGATTTTTATTCAATTTTCATTCTTTTGGGGGCTAACTAGCTATTCTGCATATTTGTGAAACAAATACACACAAATCTGCCCACTATGGGCACCTTGCTTTTGTGTGAACACTGAGCTTACACAGCAAGGAAGCAGCACTAGAAAAACTAGTGCTGTACCTCTTCAAGCAGAGAGACTCCCTGGACTACCAGACCCTCATTAGTACTCTCTTCACTCACTCTTCACGAAGCTGCCATCAGCTCACCTGCTGTATGGCTCCAGCCTCATATTTGGCATCTCTACTCCATTAGTAGCTAGAGTGATATTTTCAAACACTAAACACTAGAAAATTTTTCAATGCCCTGGTTTTAAAACTGTTGGCTTCCAAATATGTCTGAAAGTCTTGTCACTTTCCTGAACCCCCCCCCCCCAAAGCTCTCAGGCTGGAGCTTTCATTCCACTCTTCACTGTTAGCCCACATCTCCTCGTTAGTCCATTCATACTTACCCTGTGGAGCTCAACCCTGAACCCTGTGGCCCTGAACCCCCAGGTTAGGAATTAGCATCCTGTACACCCCCTTCTGGGCACTGACGAAGACGGGCTCTTCTGCCAAAATAATAAATTCTGGAGCCTGCCTGGTGGAGCAGGGCTTAAGTCTCAGCACTGTGAAGCTATCAGCAGCCACTGCAGTAAGTTCGATCCCCAGCCAGGGAGCTGACCCTCAGGGCACCGCAGCCTCTCCTGTGTCCCGGCTGCTCCCCGCAGCAGTGGATTTCAGTAGATCTGACTGTTCTGCTCCCCACTCTCTTGTCCCCCCCTCCCCTCCTCTGGCCTGTACCCCAGTTCTTGTGTGCATTAATAAATCTTTAAAAAGAAAAACTCCATGAAGGCCACAACTCTACAATGTCACAATGACACTGACATTTTGTCCTAGTACACCACACTTGGACACTCAATGAAGTGTTAACCAGACTTAAGTTTGAATTTTGACTCTGCTACTAATCAGCTAGGTGAACTCGGGCAGATCATTAAATGCACAAAGTACTCTAGGCCTCCAGGCTAAAGGTAACCATTTTTGATACCATTAATAATAATAATAATAATAATAAAGTAATACTTACTTTCCTGGTATGGGCTCATACTCCTCTTGAGAGGATTTTGATTTGGCTCTCTGGGAACAGATGCACTTTGGTTTTGAATAAGCTGAAAAAAGATTGACTATATTTAATATTAATAAATAAGAAAATTAGGAAATAGAGAAAACAACTTCCTGAGAAATATTCTAAATTCAGGGGGAAGGGTGGAAATTCAGTTTTTTCAAGTAGTTTTATTAGCAGTCGAGCCCTGTGCTCGCAGTGTGCCCAGGGCTGGCTGACTTCTCTGGCCTTAGCTACTTCATCTGCAAATGGAAGGGTAGTATCTTCCAAGATATTGCATGGACTCCAGGTGGATTCCTGCAATCCTCTCGAACTGTAGGAGCAAGGGCCCCAAGAGTTAGGAGCTGAAAGATGTTAATAAGACGTTCCAGAAAACAGAAATTAGACAGAGAAGACAATGCAGTGAAGTCACCACAGAAGACAAGGAGAAAGACCTGAAAGGGAGGAAACAAGGCAGTGGCCAGCAAATCTGCCCCTCTCTGGTCCTTCCGCCCCCTTCTACCTCCCCCTCTTCTGTCTTCCCTTCTATCTCTTTCCATGTCTCCTGTCTTACTGGGTTTTAATAGCCAGGCTTCTCCCTCCGTTCAGGAGAGACTGCCCCTTAGATATGCAAGAGTAGCCCCCAGATAGTTGTTTAGTTCTGCTGAGCACACAGGCCTGGCCTGGGTTCAACTCTGGCTGCTGCAGGCAGAGGCCTACAGGGTGTGGCAGCCCTGAGACTTAACCCCTAGGTCAGGGAGGCCCATCCTCAGAACTCCTTCCTTACTGCTGGGATCTCCCATGCCCCAGCCTGGCCTCACTGTCCACACCTCCACTGAGGCTGGCTGCAGAAGCACCAGGGGAGTGCTGCGTGCTTGTGGGGTGCACACTCGAGAGGACAGGGGCTCCCCAATGGAAGCGGTGGCCATTGTGTGTGGGTCTCCCACACCTGAAAGACGACATTGTGTATAAAACTGGAAGCAAGCAGGAGAGGTACTCACAGGGTGAAGAGTTTTTATTTTCATTTAAAAAGCAGAGCTGGACAAAGGCACATCTTTCGCTGTGATGTAAATAATTGTGTTCTGGAGTGTCATACCTATAAAGAAATTCTAATAAGAAAAGATTAGAGTCACAACTCATTGCCTGGGAGCAACAGCTGCCCCCTCTTTCTGAGGTCTCCCCATGACTCACTGTGTGGTGGTTCTCTGCTGCAGACTGTCCCAGGATGAGGAACCCTCATGCCACAGCCTTCACGCCTGTTGCTCTGCAGCCCAAGGCCAGAAGCAGAAGGGCAGCCGTGACCCATGTCGGAACCTGGAAAAGCCCAAGTTATAAAAAAGAGCTATGAGTTTCAGGGTTATTAGTTAACGACAAGTGAGCCCCGACTGGACAATGCTTAGGCATCTAAATGCTCCACTTGCCCTGGGGCGTTGCCAGCATACGGGTGAAATTTGGGGCCCCTCCTGACAAGTGAGAGAGGTGATAAGTCACAGTTCTGATGGACTCGAGAATTTAATGAGTGCAGCCCTAACGATTTGCCCACGAATGACCAGACAAGCTTGCATCTGTAGTTACTGTTTTCCAGGTTTGTTCTGATATATCCGTGTTATTTTCTCAGATGCTCTTGTGGTCATGAGCTTGTCTTATATCAGCGAAGCAACTGGAAGATGTTTTCCCTCTTTAATTCAGCAGCCCATTTGAGACTCTGAATATGATTTTGCCCTCATCAGCCACAGAGAGGCTGACAGTAGAAAGCACCTGTGCCTGGTGGGGCCCAGGGCTGGACAGCAGTGCGGGCAGTGGCGCATTCGGGTGAGGGAGCCCGGCCAGCCGGGCGAGGGCTTCGGGTGTGGGTGTCCAAGCAGTACTTTGGCTTCAGGCAAGATGAGACTAGCGGACAAGCTGCTGCTAGTGCTACCGGCCTAGCTGTGCTCACAATCATGCTCAAATTTAACATGCCTCAAAGTGCAGATTACAAATGGAACAAACTCCAGGAAGTTTTTTCTTTTTCCCCAAACCTCACACTGTTGCTGACCAGGGAATGCCCTTTGGATCCTGAATCAGGCATACTCCAGAGGGTACCCCGGGGGGGTTGTGCTGTACAGTGGAAAGGCCATGGGGTGCAAAAGCCAGCGCTGCCACCTGGTAGCTGCTCTCGTTGGAAGTGTGTCCACAGGTTTTTTGACGTGCTCCTCCAGAGGTAGTTTAGCTCCTGTTTCCCTGAGGAAGGGTGGGCGAGGGTTGGCGTCTCGCAAGCAGAATGAAGTGCCAGTGGTGGTGTGTACCTTACAAAACCAGGCCCCCCCATGACGTGGAAGCTGCTTTCTTGGATTACTTGCTCCAAGGAAGCTGACATACTGGACAGACCCACTTGGCAAGGAACAGAGGCCTAACAGTGGCCATGTGAGGTAACCACCTTGGGGGAGATGGTCCAGCCCAGTGAGGCTTTCGCCTGGCTTATGCAGCCTCACCACCGGAGGCCTGTGTTTCCTAAGCTATAAAATAAAGATAACTCCTACCTTACCTATAGATGCTATGTTAACCCTCTCGAAATTTTTAATAATATAATGGTTTATTTTTACATCATTTTTGCCTGTTTCCATCTCAGTTGTAATCCCCGTGGGCTTCCCATTGCCATATCACCCGTGTGCCATCACTATGGTCCAGTGCATTCCCCCACCACCATTTTTGATCCCATTCCCCACTCCACCTCCGTAAAATGTCTCAGGTATATAGCTGTTCATTATTATTATTATTTTCTCCCCTGGTCTTTTATACTCCTGCTATGAACACTCTCAGACTTTTAATGCAGATCCCTTTTACACTCATAAAATTGGAGGCCCTAAGGAGCTCGTGTTTATGGCTTATATCTATCATACGTTGTAAGTTATGCCATGTTATATACCGGAGATGAAAAACCTCCCCCTGCATTGGAGAAGAGCTTTAGTATACCTTCCAGTCAGCGTGTGACAGATTGGCTAATTTAATTAGGCAGGAGCTGGGTCTTATTAACTGCTTCTGCATTCACTCAATTGTAATGCTGGCCTTGCAAAGATAGATTACTATAAAGCAGGATTTTTTAAAAAAAAGATTTATGTATGTATGCATACAGAACTGGGGTACAGGCCAGAGGTGCAGGGGTGGTGAGAGGATCCACCAGAGACAAAGGACAAAGTGGGGAGCAGAGCAGGCAGACAACGAAGTACACTGCTGAGGGGAGCAGTGGGCTAGACAGGAGAGGTCTGCCGCGCCATGGGGGTCACCTCAGGGGCAGGGGGTAGAGATCAAACTCATACTGAAGCAGCTGCGGGTGTGGCTGCAGGTGCGGCTGTGGCCAGCTTGCAGTGCTGCATCCTAACCCACTCCACCACAGGGAGGGCTGCAAAGCAGGATATTGTGATCCCCTGGAAAGGGTCCCTCAGACCCTGGGGGCCCTCTGAGCCCAACTTGCAAACCTCTGTTACTGGTATCATAAGTGTTCAGTCAAGAGACCAGTTATAATTATGAGGAAAGGTGTCATCTACGGAGAAGAAATAGAAATGAATGTGACAGGGAGAATACCCAGGTGAAGGGAAGGCTCTTGGCTAACCGGCTGGGTGACACAAGCAAAGCCTTGTTACCTCTTTGGCCCCAGCTTCCCCCATGTGAACTTAGGCTCAGTCACCCAAGTGGCTCAACCACTCGTGCGTTTCATGCTTGGGAGCTGCCTGAGCAGGCAGGCCTGGCCCCACCCGGTCCTCACCCAGGGCAGAGCTGCCAGGGGATATTTTTCAGTTTCAACTTTATTCAGACAAAGACTCCTGTGACTAAAAATCACTGCATTCCGAAATGCATGGTGCTGTCTGGGTCTCCTCCCAGCTCTTCCTTTGCATCTATGAAATGTGTGTGGACAGGTCCACGCGACTTGCCCTTGGCCAATCAGTTTAGTAGGGTCAGATTGCGATAAGTTTAATAGGGTCATACGGGAAGCTGATAACACAGAAATGAAGCCACCTGGTGCCCAGGCCATAAGTCCCGTGATCCAGCCAGAGTATGCCAGCACTTCTCCCCCCACCCCCCGCTTGGCCACGTCGTATTCATTCTTTATGTTTTCTACACACACAAAAATATGACATGCACAGAGCCGCGAGCCCTCACTTACTGAGCATGGAGTCTGGGCGCAGTGCCCTCTGCTGAGTGGCAATGGGAGCCCTTCCACAGTCACTGCTTCCGTGGCCTTTTCCCTCTGTTCTTTGCTGCCTGAAAAGAGGCACGTAAGACCCCATGAGCTTTTAGTGCACTTCTAGCAGAGCTCGTGAAAATCAGGAAAGCTGAAATTTAGTGTCTTTTATCAGCACCTGGAAGCAAAGCAGCCACACTTGAGCCCTGACACAGGGTCCCTCACCCACCTGCCGGAGAGCTTCCCTGATGGAACTGCACCAGCAGCATCTGACCTGGTAAGACTTTGGATACGCTGAGAGTAAACCTGTTTCGTTACCAGGGGATAATCTAAATATCATGCACACATGCATAATTTGAAGTGGGAATTATGAAATTTGGGAGTTTTCTTCAGTGATGTCTCACAGTCAGTTCTTATCAGGGGAAGCACGTGTGCGCTCTCTCTGTAGATCGCAGCACTGGGTCATGTGACTTTGGCTCTGTAAGTACAAAGCAAAGTACCCAAAAGGCCCGGAGCAGATTTTGTCCTGGCTTGTTTATGGCTTTGGAAGCGTGGAGGGTTTGTTTTAGCTGTGTAAGTCCACCAGGGGGCGTCAGAAAGAAACTCCTGGAATTGTGGTTTACCAAAATACTTCCATTTTCCAGACTAGAGCTTCAGCCTTACCCCTTAACAGGAATTCTAACGCTGCCAAAGAAATTGTAATCAATTCCCATTTTTAGCAAAGCTGTGGTGCAGCCCCTGGAGGCCGGCAAAGCCCTAGGGAAAGTCACGCGTTCTCAGTGCTGCAGGTGCTGTTTTCCTGGACTGATTCTGCGGGAACAAGGCGATGCCTGCCGTGGGGGATGAGCTGAGCGTGTGCCTGGCACATCCCACCGTGCCCAGCCAGCAGCCAGCGGGTTTGTGGGGTCGGGGCTGAGAAGGCAGGCTCTCTCCCTCCTCTGGAAAAACAGCTCTCCTGAGTCACAGATGTCCCACACCTCATTTTCCGTCTCCACCCTCCTCCTCCAGGGCATTTGAACATCTGCTCTCCAAAGTGGAAAACTTGGATCTCTCTCAAGTAAGTTCAGTCCAACACATGACTTTCTTTTTCTGCCTCTTTTAAACTTCTTTGTGCACCAAAGTCTTCTTGCCAAACGTTAACAGCTATCTGCTATATTTTAACAAGACAAAGGAGCTAAAATGTATTCTTCCACCTAAAGTTTCACATCAGAAATAACACAAGGGGTTAAGTATTTTATGTGTGGGATACATATTATTTATCTGCCTGTATATAATACTTTGCCAATATCCTGGAACAGCGTTCTTAAGCAAGCTTCATAAAGAACACACCCTCAGAGATATGTAATCTAAGAGTAGAGCGTATATAACTTCCATTCAATCAGTTCTTCGGAGGTTATGTATTTTACTAAGATGTCAACTTATAAATCGTGGAAAGATTCTCGGCAGCAGATTCACTGTTAGATCTGACTTTATACTTGGTGCTGTTCAGAAGAACATCTTCTCCACCATAAAAGAGTATATTTAGACTGAAACATCCTGGTACTTAAGTGGTTCTGTAAGGTCTAGACTAGGAATCTGGAAGAGGAACATTTAAACCTTTAATGTTTACATCAAAATTTTCTTTGTCAAATGTTTAAATCATACTTAATAGAACCTTAACTATTCAGTCTTAATTTTAAAAAATTTTTATTTATTTATTTATAACAGTTTCAAAGTCTTAATTTTAATTCAACAAATAAGCATACTAGGTGGGGGTTGGTTTGGGAAGGAGGCTCTTGAATTTAAAGGAGATGATGGACAGGCATGCTCGCTTAACGTCATGTTCCACCCCAGATGACACGGTCCTTTTTAGCACAAACACCTGTTTCTTTGTTAGGAGCCGGAAATGCAATAGAACACTATGACAAGCTCCCTCTCCTGCAGGAAATTTCAGTCTTCAGACCTTGTCATCTGCTTCCACTTGTGTTAAGTGCATGTAATAGTGGTTGCTAACCAGAAACTCCCTCCTTGACTCTTGACCTTTCAAAAGAAAATTAGCTCAACCTTGGCCACAGTCCCCAGGCCCCCCCCCCAACCTCGGAGGTGGCACCTCTCACTTCACTGACGGACTCTGAATTCAGGTCCTCCCTGGTGGCACAGGGGTTAAAGTCTCAGCCCTCTCAAGCTATTGCCAGCCGAGTTGGCCTGAGCCCCTTCCTTCCTGTCTCCCCACTGCTCCCCTCAGCAGTGTGTTTCAGTACATCTGCCTGTCCTGCTCCCCCATGCTGTCTCTGGTGAATCCTCTCACCCCCTGCACCTCTGGCCTATACATCAGTTCATATATGCACAAAAAAATAAAAGTAAATCTTCACAAAAATTCTGAATTCACATGAGCTAACAGTTGATCCAGTGAGTATTGTGAAAACATTAATAATTTCACCTTAGGCCCTACAGCTTTTGACAGGATTTACCACTGGTTACTTCAGGAAGATTTATTGTTAGAAATGGGGAGAAATAAACCCTGAGACAAGGGATTAGAGCTATTTCAGTGGGACTGTGAACGGAGAGCATGGGAGGGACTCAACCAGAGATTTTCTGTCTTCCCGAGGGGGAGTTGGTATACTGTGGTGCAGAATAATTTCCCTTCAAACAAAACCTACAGAAGAAACCACCCTTGAGTGCTGTCACCCAATCCCTAAGTGTGAGGCCTGACCAGAATAACCTGGGGAGACTTTAAAGTGCCCTGCCTGGGCTCCACCCCCGCGGGGCTAGGCAGGTGCTTTATTAAAATAACCTCCTCTGTGGACAGTGACTGCCGGGAGGATATGTAAGTTGGGAGCAGGCCGGGCTAGGTGCCCAGCCGGAGAGCTGTGATGCTGTTACAATGTGGTCAGTGACTACTGGCTCCCGTTCGCTTAGTGGACACCCACTCTCACTGCACTTGTCACCTCAGGCCTGGCAGTCGCCCAGCCTAGAACGCAATGCAAGGAGGCCTCACCATTCAAGGACCCGATGGCAGAAGGCACAGCATGGACTGGTGGTCTCTGCACGGTCCTGCCTTCGGGAGGCGTTGTTGGGGTCCTCCTGCACCACAAAGCACAGGCAGACACGGATGTGACAGGAAGTGACTCACCCCGGCAGCTCACGCACAGCCCAGCCCAGCTCCCGCTCTTGCCTGCTGGCCCTCAGAGCTCTCTGCGGTCCTGGCCCTGTCCTGGCCTTGGGATCACAGAAAGATCCCACATGAGCTCGACATCTTTCCTTCACGAGCTCTTGAAGTCTGGTTTACAGATGCAAGCATATTCGCCACCACACACTTTTCCCCCTTCAGTTTCAAATGACTGCAGGTTCCACCAAAGGAGGAAAGAGTTTAAGGTGATCTTTAAAGCTATCATCTGAGCTCTGAAGCTCTTCCAAAGAAATGCATTCAACTGTGAATTAAAACAAGGTTGAAGGACTCTCTAGAGACCCCTACGTCCTTCCATAACACAAAAATCTTTCACTACTGAGCAGAGGGCCAGTCCCTCCTGGGGTATTATTTACTGCGGCTTTCCCCTTTATGTCAGCAGAAAGTAGACGTATGTTCCCACCATTACAACACCACGCTGGCATCCACTGCCTTGTGCAGATAGCTTTTTTCCCCCTATATTTTGTATTACTTCCTTAGGAAATGTCTGGGTCCCAAATCACCGACATGTTTGTGTGATGACAGGATTGCCAAATTGCTTTCCACAAAAGTTGTCTGAATTACACAGCCGGCAACAATGTGGGCGGCCGCTTGGCCACACCTTTCTCCCATCAGGAGTTACCACTTGAAAATGTTTTCTTAATTTAAGAAGGGGGAGGGCAGTGCCTGGTGTTCATTTACATTTCCTCTGTTATTAAAATATCCCTCTGCTATATATATATATATATTTTTTTCCCATGTGCTTATTTATTGGTGATATTTCCTACTGGTGGTTTTTATTCATAGCCTTTGTCCATGAGTATTTTGGAGGGTTTCTGGAGGGTTTCGGTGTTTTCTTATTGGCAAAAGCAGCTGCTTGTTGGCTGTGTATTGTGGCAGGTGCTTCTTTATCCCTTCCTTCTACCCAGTGACCATGAGAAATCTGAGGTCAGAGGAAGGTAAACAATTTGGTAAGGTCGACTCAGAATGAGTGATGGAGCCAGTATCTCCCCTTTTACCCACATACTTGTGTTCTTAATCACAGTTCTCCTTTGTGCAATTGTGCAAGAACTTTGATGAAACCACAACACCAAACTACACTTCTATTATTTTTCCCAGCCATGCGCCTTTTAAAAAGGGCAGCTCTAAGTTTCAGTTTTGCTCCCATAGAAGTTGATGTTGTCAAAGGTGGTACAAATGGTCAAGAAACATGCTTAAATTTCACATAGTCAAAGTAATATCGATTGAAGCAATGATTAAAACTAATACAGATTTAAACACAGCACTTTCGTAAAGATTAGAAAAGAAAAGTAAAAGGAAACACCCAGTGTGGGGTCAGGCTGGAGACGCCTGCATTTCCGTGCCCTGCTGTGGGGTATAAACTGGCATTACCTGACTAATGCCAGTTTATCCACATTTTCAGTGTGTACCCTTGAACTATCTTCCTAGGTTTTTATCCTAAATTGATTATTTTGATCAATGATGGCAAAACATTTGCATATAAAATGATTGCCTATAGCCTAGAGTGATGTTTATAATATCAAAGAAGTGGAAAAGACAGTCTGTTCACAAGGAATAGCTTAAGTAAGTCAGGGTACATCTATCTAATGAAATACAGAGCAGTCCTTAAATATGAAACTGTAGTTAATTCTATGTGATGGAATGCCTACAGAGTAATGTTAAATGAAAAGAGCAAAATAATATATATAGCAAGGTCCCATTTTTGCAAAACTGTATGTGAATGCAGAGAAAGCAGTTGGAAGGATATACACTAAAATATTAGGAATTTTTTTTTTTTTTTGCTCAGTAAAGTTTCCTTCTTTATATCTCTGTATTTGCTGGTTATTTTTGCAATGAGCTTAGTTTTCTTCTAGAATTTAAAAAAATAATGTTTTTTACCTCACTTCCCCCTGCATTTTCTTTTATCATTTCTAAGGCTACAGGTGACCTGCACTCCTAGGGCAGATTTCATTCGCGGATCCTAGGAGGTGCCTCACCTGAGCTGGGAGGCCTGGAGTTCAATGTCTCTGTCACTTGCCCTCAGCAAATCTCATCTTTCTAAGTTTCCACCTTTTCTGCAAAAAGTTCTGCGAACTGTTAGGCTCTGAAGGAACAGATTTAATTTTTTCTCCTTACGCTTTTGTCATCATTTTAGACTGTCAGGTGTTTTAATCCCAGTATTTCCAAATCATTTGAAATGAAATCCTCTCCATTGAGGTCCCTAGACCAATGCTGGCATCACCTGGGGCCTCATCAGAAACTCAGAGACGCAGGCTCATCCAGACCTGCTAGATTCAAGGTCCGAGATGCAGCCCGAGGAGCCCTTGTAGACCGCGTGCTCAAGGCAAGTTTCACCTGAGTGCTGAGTGGGAAATGTCAGTGTCAGCTGATCCCCAGCGCCAGTACCCAGGCGCCAATGCATGAGGCCAGGTGAGCCAGGTGAGGCCAATTTCAAATTCAGTCAGCATCCAGGTTACTGGAGCCTCAAGGTGGCTGAATGCAGCGAGGACCAGGCTGCTGGGCTTTTTCTGGAATCACCAGACAGCCTCATGGCCACGTATCAGGTGGGTCCTGGGCAGTTACATTCCCCTGGTTGGTTGATGTGTTGTTTTGGTTTTTAAAGGAAGTTTGAGTTTTAGAATGATTTTTTTTTAGCTGTCTGGGAGTCCAGCTTTGGGGGCTTATTTTTATTTAATGATGAGGAATTCAACACCTCTGGGACAGTGGAAGGAATGTGGTGGGGACACCATGTATCTCCTCACCTTTTCTCCTCTTTGCTCAGCCCTCGCTGCAACAGGGCTGCAGCAGTCAGCCGGGGCCCCCTCAAACCCCAGTTCCCGGGGCACCACAAGGGTGCAGGTGGAGGGAGGGAAGGGCAGGCTCCCCAGATATGTAACCCTCAGTCTGCTCTTGTGCCCCTCAGACATTCAGGAGGGGCTTCTAGAAGGGGCTGCCCACTTTGTATGTAGAGGGGGACCCTGTCCCCCTTATACTACCACATGGGCCGCCAAGGGGACCTGGTGCTCTTTGGGAGCCTGGGCAGCTGCACCTGGGACTTGCTGTTAGGGTCACAGCCCCCAACTTGCAGTTCTGCATCCCCACCCGGAGCTACCATCACTTCCTCGCCAAGTCCTTTCTCAAAGCTCCTGGCCAAGCTGCCTCCTCCTCCTCTCCTAGGACTCGGTTCAGAATTCAGCTCTCTGAAGAATTTACCATCCCACGGAGCTACTTTTGGTCACGGCCCGCTGCTTAGTAATCACGCTGGCTAGTGCCTGAGTAATGTGCTCATTATGAGCCAGGCCCTGCCTTAAGCACTTCCCACATAAACTCCTTTAAATGCCTTCAACAACTCTGTGAGGCAGATGTTATTACCTCCCCCCCC